TACCAGCCTTATAGAAGCACACAACTCCTAGTTTTTCATGTGGGTGCTAGATATCTGAACTCAGGTCATTGTGTTTGCAGACCAAACACCACCTGCTGAGCCATCGCTGCACACCATGAACATTATAAATTCAATGTTGTATTTCCCATAACCATATTTTTAAATGTCCTGTCGTGTTCCTGGAAAAGCAAGAAATAGGAGACCTGTCTGAAAAGTACGACATTTGATTGACGTGATCTATATAACTGGACATCAGCTGCAGCTGGCCTGCTTCAGATAAGATGGGAATTACTCTGTGAGCTAACAACTCCCTGAGGCCCCAGAAAAGGCACATATGAAGGAAATTCAGAAAAGAGTATGACAATTATGAAAAAGCCAAGTGAAGGGATATTAGCCCACTTGAGTATATGGCTCTGACAGGCCTTGCCTTTCTCTCCCATCCCCTCTACCTTGCTAGCAACTGCTAGATTACATTCCTAAAGCTAGCCAAGAAGGTCTACTCCTTTATACGGACACTTTCTCCTCCTGAGGCTGACTACCAAGGTCCAGCTATCAAAGTATTGAAGCCCAGCAATCAAAATCCCCCATTGGCTCACCTAATTAACATATTAACATGACCCATTAAAATTAAACACCTCATCCTAACAAGGGGTTTCCCCTTTTTACCTTTATACACTGCCGTTTTTGTCTTGGGCCACATCTGCCTCCTTTCTATCCAGAGGCAGTCCTTTGTCCCTTAGGACAAAACCCCTTTACCCTTTCTCTCCCCTGTCCCTTGTTCCCTTCCCCTTCTCCCTCATCCTCTAGCTCCTGCCTTTGTCTCTTATCCCCTGCCCTTTGTCTCTCTGGGGCAGGTAAATCTTCTCTGTGCTGAGAACTTGGCCTTGGAGTCTTCCGCTGCCGATACCTACCTCTTACACAGTGAGGGTGACCTATGAGGCCCATTATGCTAGTTAAGCACATGGGGCTCGAACAAAGTCTGACTGACTTAAAATGCCATGAGTGTCTGTTGGTTTACAGAAAACACAAGGCTGAGGAAGAGCGGACACTGAGTGTTGTCCCAAAGATGGCAACGTCGATAACTGCTCTTCATTGTTCCATTTCTAAATAAGGAGGATCTTGGTTTAGTTGTCTACTGTAGAAGTAAGCTCCAGTGTTCTCTAAAGCTTTTCTCTTTATTAAGAATTTTTTTTATTCATTTTAACATCCCAACCACAGATCCCCCTTTCATCCCTCCTTCCTTTCCCTGCCTAACCTGTCCCCCATCTCCTCCTCCATAAAAGTAAGGTCTCCCATAGGGAGTCAGCAAAGCCTGGTACATTCAGATGAAGCAGGTCCAAACCCCCCCAACCCCCCACACCCTCACCCCACCTCTGCATCAAGGCTGTGCAAGGTGTCCTACCATAGGTAATGGGCTCCAAAAAGCCAGCTCATGCATCAGGGATAGATCCTGATCCCACTGCCAGGGACCCCTTAAAAGACCAAGCTACACAACTGTCTCCCTTATGCAGAGGGCCTAGTCCGGTCCCATGCAGGCTCTACAGCTGTTGGTCTAAAGTTCATCAGTTTCCACTAGCTTGGTTTGGTTGTCTCTGTAGATTTCCCCATCATGATGTTGATGGCCCTTGCTCATAGAATCCCTCTTCCTGCTCTTCGACTGGACTCCCAGGGCTCAGCCTGGTGCTTGGCTGTGGATCTCTGTATCTGCTTCTATCAGTTACTAGATGAAGGCTCTAGGATGACGGTTGGGGTATTCACCAATCCAATTACTGGGGTAGGCCGACTCAGGCACCATTTTCACTATTGCTAGTAATCTAAGCGGGGGGGGGGGGGGGGGGGGTGGGGGTGGGGAGGGAAAAAAGGGGGGGGGGAAAAAAGGGGGGGGGGGGGGGGGGGGGGGGGGGGGGGAGTGTCATTCTTGTGGATTCCTGGGAACTTCCCTAGCACCAGGTTTCTCCCTATCCCCATGATGTCTCCCTTTATCAAGATATCTCTTTCATTGCTCTCCCACTCTGTCCCTGTTCCAGCTTGACTGACAGAGGGCTAATCTCCAAAATATATAAAGAATTCAAGAAACTAGACATCAAAATTCCAAACAATCCAATTAAAAATGGGCTATAGAACTAAATAGAAAATTCTCAACAAAAGAATCTCAAATGGTCGAAAGATATTTAAGGAATTGCTCAACACCCTTAGTCACCAGGGAAATGCAAATCAAAATGACTCTGTGATACCATCTTACACCTGTCAGAATAGTCAAAAACTTTTTATAATCATGAGAAAGGTAATGAAATAGCATCTCACATACAAAAAGTAAGGAAGGTTCTCCAAGTGCATTCTGGGTAGGAGTACTGACTGATAAGTAATGAGGTTGCATTAGATACAGAAAATGCAGACAAGAGCCTCTGGTGTCAAATATGGAAGGAGGGAAAGTGAAGAGAGAAAGAGATGAAGAAGGAAAAAGATAACCAAAGTTGAAGCTTCTAACCCCATACCACGTGGGCTGGCTGCCTAACCCAATAAGTCAGCAAGACTTTCTCATAAGGACTCCCTTCCCAGCGACCTCAGTTCTCACAGCATCTAAATTATAAAGTGATGTAAAAGACCAACAAGCCATACCTGGCTGGCTCCAAGGACAACACAAAGCCTGATGTCCCTTGGGTACTGCCAGATGGTCTTGTCTTCAGTGTATAGTTATTTCAATTTCAGGGTCTTCATTCCACCCTGCTTAGCAGATCATAGAACAGAGGTGTATTGTTTTGCTTGTCAAATTCACTCTCTTCCTAAAGAACAGCCCCCTTCTCCCAAGAAACTCCCTTTGCTTTCTCTGCCAATCATTCATGTTAACTAACAACACACCTCGCCTTCTCATCACACCTCACCTTCTCAGATGAGCCCAGATGGATTCCTGGATCCTTATTCCTCAGTTTCCCTAAATTGAGTCTAATGAATAGGGATGTGGCCATAAAAATCAGAGACTTGGAAGGATCGGGTCTCTCTTTATGTGAGTGTTTCTGAACCTGTGTGTCATGACCCCAGAGGGGTCACATATTAGATAGTTCCATTACAATCCATAACAGTAGCTAAATTACAGTTCTGAAGTAGCAGCAAAAATGATTTTACGGTTGGGGGTCACCACAACGTGAGGAACTGTATTACAGGGTCGCAGTGTTAGAAAGATTGAGAAGCACTGATTTGGAGGGAAGAAACTGGCCTATGTTGTCACAACACAGAGAAGCTGTGAGGACTGTTAAAGAGACTTGGTCTTGACAGCTTTCAAGACCCTGGGACCGAGTTGCACTAATCCCGTTCAGTTACTATGGAAACATCACAGCATCTTTCTAACAAAACCCTCCTTCAGGCAAAACTCATTCAAATTTGGTTTCTCTCGTTCACCAGCAGGAGTCCCAGCAGCAGTGACAGCCATTTCCGCCTTCTTCCCCTCCGCACCCTTTCCTAGAGTCAGCTCAACCTGGTGCTGCCCTGCTTGTCCTCATCCCTTCTTAGTCTACCCATACTTAGGGAGCATGGCCAACACTCTTGCCCCCCCACACACACTAGCTCTGCTCCTACTTGCTTTCCCTAAAGCTGGCGTCCGTTTTATCACACACTCAGCCTACCAAGAACCACCAAGAAAAGGGGCAAGTGTCAGGCCCAAGAATCTGTAATTTGGGAAAGCATACAGCCTAATGGTCTCTGATGTGCAGCCGGCTGGAGCCATCCCCAAGCCAGGTGACACATGAAGCCCATTAACCTGACAAGTACATGAATGCCCCCAATCGGATGTGCGAATTAGCTCTCCCACCTCTGTGTAAACGTTGAGTGCGTCTCAAAGAAAGTAGAATTGCTGCTGTTGGAGTGCATGCGGTTAGTTTCCAGCTGTAAAAAAAAAAAAAAAAAACCATAAAGGCGATGGAAGTGACTTTGCCATCTTGGAGCATTGTAGACAGCCCAGCTTCACGAGACATGCTGCCACTAGTCTCCCCGCTGTGGAAGGTCAGTCATGTAGGGGCAGTTTGTTTCTTTGTAAAGTCTAGAGTTCCATCACAGGACTACATAATTTTTCTCACAAAGTGTCTTTCTGAAGTAGCTATCCTCAACGGGGCTGGGCATAGTTTTCTCGGGGGCAATGTTGATCTACAGGGGAAAAACCTGTTTTAAATCGGTCACACAGAGTCACCTTTGATGGAGTGAAACCAGCTCTTTCTTTGTCACTAGCGACAGCAAGCATAGCACAGCAGCCCACCTTTTCTTTCCTTTTTGCAATGAATACCAGGTTGGAGAGCTATTGTTCTGTTAAGTCTAGCAAAAAAAACCTTCTCAATTCATCGGGGCATCGTGCGCAACCCAGTAAGGCTTTCATGGGACCTTGGACTCTTTGAAGTGGTTTTATATTTGGTGCGATACGGCAGGTGTTTCAAGGCTTTTCCTTTACCACAAAACATTTCCCCCTCCTCTTTTTATTGGTATTTCATTGTTTTGTGTTTATTTCTACCAAGCATGTGGAACTTGGGTCTAAAAGTCTTTGCAAATCTTGGAATGATTACAATCAGAAGAATTTGACCATTTGGGCCAATAGCATCCCCCACTCTGACAGAGCGTGTGGTGTGTGTGGTATGGTGTGTGTGTGTGTGTGTGTGTGTGTGTGTGTGTGTGTGTGTGTGTGTCCTTTCTTCATCCCCACCCCCGTCAACACATTTCAAAGAGTGCCCTAATAAACGGTGACAAACTTGCATGTGCTTCCCTTATGACTAAACTTCTGGGCCTCTGGCCAATCCCTGCCCTGCTCATATGGCCCCAAACTTCAGGCATCCCGGTCAGGAGCTCCTCCTTTGTAGCCCTGGTTCTTGAACAGAGAGGGCGGAGGGAGTAGCGGTGTCTTCGTCCTGGGGGAAGGTGAAACAACTACTCAGAGGAAGAGGGCGTTTCCTTCCCACGAGCTGTTGCTGGCTCTAGGTCTTGGCCTCGGGGCTCCACCCTGCCCCTCCCGGTGCTCTGGGAAAAGCCAGTCGCCACACACAGGCACATGCAGACCCGGCGCCACGCCCTGAGGAGAGCAGCTTTGGGGCCCATCACCATGGCAACAGCGGAGCTCCTTCCACTTCTCCACCCAGCTGACTCCCCCCACCCCTCCCAGCGCAGCCAACCGGCTTGTGCGCGTCCCGGGAGCGCGCTATAAAACCTTGCACGGGTGGCGCTCGCTGCTCAGCTTGACCTGAGTGAAGGGGCAGTCCCCATTTCCAGCCCGTGACAGCCTTAGCAATGCGGAGCATGCAGACCATGAGCACCTTCCTGCGAAAGCCATGCTTCTGCCTAGGCTTCCTGCTCTTCCATCTCATAAATCAAGTAAGTAGCGCACGCTTAAGATGCCCCCGGTTACTTGGTCCTCCTGGACTGCCCCTAATCGGTCTCGGGCTCACTCTGCCTTAGCTTGTCCCTGATAACCAGGGTTTCTTTTCTTATCTTGCCTCTCTTCCTAGGCGTCTGCAAGTCAGCGCTGCCCATCTTCGTGCCCGCTCCAGTGCCCTTCTACACCGCCGACCTGCGCCCCCGGGGTGCGCTCGGTGCTGGACGGCTGCTCCTGCTGTCTGGTGTGCGCCCGCCAGCGCGGAGAGAGCTGCTCGGAGCTGAAACCCTGCGACCAGAGCAGTGGCCTCTACTGTGACCGGAGCGCAGACCCCAGCAACCAGACTGGCATATGCATGGGTAATCCTGTCCGCCCCGCCTGCTGTCAGCGAAGCTGTTCCCTCCCTTTGCCCTCGTCTTCCCTTTCCCCGGAGAGACTAAGCGAAAACATTTGTAGCAATAGTACAGTACAGTAAGTGACATGTAAGGAGAGCTTACTGCGGAGCAGGCATCAGACTGAAAGGAAACATACTCAGCGCAGGTACATCACTTGCCGCCTAGAGAGGGGACGAAAGCAGAGTGTAAGGGCCAGGGAAGTCATTTTATTTGGCCATTTCCAGGGGAACACTTAGAGTCATGGAAGTATGAGCTTACTCATAGGTCTCCAGTTCCCCCGACTGTCGCCCTGCACATTTGTTTTCACACCTGTAATTGTCCTACTTGAGCCAAAGCAATTCCTGTCTCCTGGGAGGACTAAGTCACTCCCGGCTGGGCTGCAGTAAAATAAAATGCAGGCAACGAGCCAACGCAGGCTCATGTAAATCAATGGGAGATCAATTTCCCACGAGGTCCATGGCTGTAATCAGGGTCAGTCAGCCCTACCTCCCTGTGGTACGAGTTTGAAATGAGTCTTCTCTTTTTTTTCCCTCCAAGCTAGTGGTGACTTCCTGTACTTCAATGCCAAGAACTCTTAATGCCCTTCCCAATCTGACCAGTGAAACCACTGGGTTTTAAATCCTAAACTACTGCAGAAGGCTAATCAAAGCCGGTTCTGGATAAGTGATGTTGTCTTTGGAGATAGGATCTCCGGAGTATGACATTACCATTTGTCCTTGCCTTTGTTCTGTCTTAGAAATGGGAGGCAGAGGCAGGTGGATCTCTGTGAGTTTGAGGCCAGCCTTGTCTACAGAGTGAGATCCAGGAAAGGCACAAAGCTACACAGAGAAACCCTGTCTCAAAAAACCAAAAAAAAAGAAAGAAAGAAAGAAAGAAAGAAAGAAAGAAGGAAGGAAGGAAGGAAGGAAGGAAGGAAGGAAGGAAAGAAAGAAAGAAAGAAAGAAAGAAAGAAAGAAAGAAAGAAAGAAAGAAAGAAAGAAAGAAAGAAAGAAAGAAAATTATTTCAGAGTAGGAGATGTGGCAAGGAAGTAGAGATGTATTAGAAGCCATCAGTTAGTCAGATCATGTATATTGGCAGTGTCCAGAGTCCACCTCTTTGCCTATCATAAGAACTAGGTGAAGAAAAAAGACCAGGTGGGATTGGTGCCTCCTCCTCTTCTGGAAGCATCAAAACACATTTCTCGTTGAGATGTATAAGCCAGTCACCTGAAATAGAAAAGAAACAACTTCTAATCATGTCCTGGCAATCCAGTTTAACTGTTCCTCTTTCTCTCTCTCCTCTCTCTCTTTCTCCCCCTTCTCTCTCCCCTCTCTCCTCTCTCCCTCCCTCCCCCATCTCTCTGTCTCTCTGTCTCTCTCTCCCTCCCTCCCCCATCTCTCTCTCTCTCTCTGTCTCTCTCTCTCTCTCTCT